TTATGTACGTGCAAATCCAACTGCATGTGCGAGCAAAATCAAATTTATCTTCAACTGAAATACGGATTATGTGATTGAAACAGTTGGAACCGTTAATCAAGACAGGAGATTGTCCAGTTTGATAGAACCATTAGAACCTGGGCTGTCCACACAGGTCTACAGTTCGACCAGGATGTTATGGTAGACTGATGATTTTTGGACAATAGTACTTAAAAGTACAAGTACAACACTATCACTTGGACAAAAAAATGAGCAACTGACACATAGACAATTCAACACGTATGACTAGCCATGTTCTATTGGTCTCACAAATCACAATACATTCAATTGCAGTATTATTAAGTGTGTCATTCCATTGCATATTCACATTCTTATATAATCACAATGATACACAGATGTATTCAGTTGCTTGCTATTTGTTAACCAATTTCTGTACACAATTATTACAAAGACAAGGTCAAATTTTAATTATAATAAAATGCCAAATGAAAAGGAGAAACATTTTTTATATCAAATATGAAAAAATGATTATATGGAATCTAGGAAAATCTAAGAAAATAGCATTTACAATGCTGGTAAAGTATAAACTCCTACCCCAAGACGAACCGTTGGTGAAGTTGCAATTTGTGAAAGAAATGGTCCAATGCTTTGTGCCATTGGGACAAGAAAGGGAGAGAACAATGGAATCGCAAGGCTCGCGTCCTGAAATTTATTGAAGATTGCATCAATTGTTTTTTAATCTCAATGCAACAACTATTAGTGGATACATCAAGATTTAGTGTTAACTGTTCAAGCCTTAAAAAGCATAAAATTTTTTCCTTTTCCCTTATGAGAAAAGCTCAGATGAAAGTGGCCAATTAATGGGACGTGAGAAAGTGGCACCAAATTTAAGAAAAGAAAGTATGGTTGATATTGATCAAGTAAGAATGAATATGAGCACAAATATGATCAAATATGATATGAGACAATGCTAGTGGAAAGGACAAAAAAGGTAAAAGCCTAAAAGGGACAAAAATAGTGGGACAAAGGGAGTAATAATCAACTCCAATGGATATAACAGCAAAGTGAAGTAGTAGAAGCCTAAAACAACATGCTCCAATTCAGAATGCTTGCTGATCACACAAAAGTGCCAAGCATATGATCAAGTCTTTGTTATTAGCCGATTATAATGCTTGACAGCTATGCAGCCGAGATTTATGCTTTATTATTAAATTTTATATTTATTAGAGATATTTGTATTATTATGTGATTATGTTTCCATATTTAGAGCTAGGGTTAGTTAGGGTTGTAACCCTATATAAAGGGATGTAATTGTATCAATCGATTCATTGAGAAATAATAGACGATAATCACTTTTATTTGTTTCATTCAGAAGGGTCAACGGGTGACTACCTTTCTGTTCTCAAATGGTGACCGCATTGTCTTTACATAAGGTTTCTAACTTTAAAAAAATTATGAAATTTCAGACTGTTTAGTCAACTCGGTTAGGAAACTAGTGCAGTGGGTCAGTGGTAAAGGACCTGATGGGGTCACTAATTGACCAGCATGACCCAGCCTACAACAAGTTAACAACAAGGAGTCAAGATGTATGCAACGTTAACCCTGTAAAAATATGGAGGCTGTTTTTGTTAGACCCTTGTTGCATTTACTTCCAAAAATTTCATAGAAAATAAGAAGCAATGGAAGTTTGGTTTGCCATTTTGATCTATTCCATTATTTACCTGAAGCTAAAATGTTGTCAAAAATGACTATTTCAGCTCCATTAGCAATGGTTGAATAGCATGCCTTTACACAAAGCAAATAATATTTTCTCACTATTATGAGCTATTTCCTGTGCAAACAAACACACAGTTATTCTTAACAAATAAAAAAAGTTTAATCAGAACATTAACAATGAAAAACAATTCATTGACTACCTTATTGTTAAATGACATTAATACGTTCCCACTTCTCTGAACAGCATACCTTGAGCCTAATTGTCAGGAAAAAATGAGATGAACTGCTGGAGATCAAGGGTCTGTTTACATATTCAATATAGAAAATGTACTTCTATAATACCAATCAAAAGGTGAATAACAGAACCCAGTGAATGGCCAATGCCAAAAATAGGAAGATCTTGTGCCTGCAAAGCACAGGTAAATAAAAAACAATAGTAATGATACTAATCAATACTCTATATAGAATGCCTAAGGCTAACCCCCTAGCAAACACCAGTGAACGAAAAATGTTCGAAATGCATGATTATAAAAACATAAAGTTCACAATTATTTATTAACTCTTGTCATTCATTTTCATTTGAGTTGAAATGTTTATACATTAAATTACACCACATTATCTTTATAAATATTCCCGACGTAGAATTAATTGTGACAGTTCATTAGTGGTTAATACAGAAAATGCGAACTACTAAATTGCTGAAACCAAAACATTTTGGAACATGTGAATATGTGGTATTTAAAAATGTTTTCATATTTTAATTGCATTACATTTTGGACATATGCAGATGTCATGCACGTTACTAGTACTAATATTAGTATAAATAAATGTCCAATGTCAGCACGAAATTGTTAAAACTCACTGTTTCCTGGAGAAATCGAAGACACCTATCAAATTTTAACTGCACCTCATCTGCAATGAAGTTGTGATCAAAACCACTTGCATAAGGAGTAGCAATCACCAATATATCCCTGCCAAAAACAAAACAAAACAAAAACTCAGCATGCTGTCATCAAATTCCCAAACGAAACATGATAGACAAAACTTGGGAAGGACATTGTGGATTACTTGGATACAGAAGCTAAGAAATATTTTCACTAAAATAGAAACATGAACCAATATGTGTTGAATACACAACTTGTGCAGAAAGAAAGCAAAGAAAGGGAATGAAGAGAATTGGGAATACACAAATGAATAGAACCAAAGTTACTGTCACAGCCAATTAAGAGCAAAGATCGAGTTAGAAGGGTCAATAGGCATGAGGCACTCACTTCTCAACAAGACGCTCCAAGAATAGGCGGTAGGTGAGCTGAGGAGCAGCCCCAACAAAAACGCCTCCAATAAAGTGTACAATTAGCCTTGGTTTTGTGTTTCGTGGTCCTAATACCCATGTTCCCTGATATAATTCTTAAAAAGCATTATACAATGTACCACAGTTCCATAAAAAATGCTGATTTCTATGGATATATTTGCTCCAGTTTAGCTTCAGGCTTCTCGCGAGGAATGTGGTGATACTAGTCTTCCTCTAGCAATGCAGTGTAACGCCACAACACTCTTTACAACTAAGATCCTTAATGAATTTTAAGAACCGATCACAAAACCATGCTTTGGCTCCAAATAATCATGAGATACATTTGTAGCCACTCAAATTAAATCATTAAGAAAAACATTAACAGAGTATGACTTAAAAATTATTAATAAATGCACCTGAACTTTCACTATCCGCTAGTTATTTCATCTAGAACCAAATGGAATTTTTGCAAATTCCATTATGTAAATCTGATAGCATTGCATGATGAATTGAGGCTAAGGGCATTCTAAACAAACAGAATACTGAAAGGAGGAACAACAAAGTAGCATCCTAGCAGGAGAATATCTTAAGATTCTTAAATTTCAGATACAGTTCTTCTCAAGTACCCAAGAAAACCTAGAATATCAAACTAGAAGACTATGGTTTCCGTTAATTACCTCAACTTCCTTCCAATCTTTTGAGGTGCCCCAAGCATCTTGAGACTTCTTGGCTGTGCTAGTGAGCAGTCTGAATATAAACAAAGCATAAGCAGACATTGCTAAAACAAATTTAAAGAGTAGGGATAAGAGAGACTGAAGGCGATAGAAGACCTTTCAATATCTTGATAAAGCTGAATTCCGCTTCTTTGAGGCTGAGTACCCGAGCTGTTATAATTGAAGCTGCTTCCACATTTGACTCTGCTGCGGCGGCCGGAATTACTGTTCCCGATCGCCGACCGAGACATAGTATGGATGCGAATGCGGCAATTATGTAATGGCGAAGCGGAATCGATGAAGGAGGGATGGAGTCCCCGGTGTATATGTGGCGCGCATAGCCAGCTGCTCGCCATACCTGCTCGAGGCCTTGCTTCTTCTTCTTCTTCGACCACCTAGCTGCCCACACAATTCGGCTCTCCTCATCTAATCTCGAGTTCAGTGTTTGTTAGGCTCACTTCAAGGTCGCATTCACTGATCATTTTGAAAAGTATTTCGCCCTAATAATTGTCTGGTTTTAATTTTGTTCTTGCCAATTCAGTTTGACCTTGAATCTATAATAATTACATAAAAATTATGGAGTACATGATATATTTTTCTTTAGATAAAAAATTTAAAAATATTTTATAAAATAAATCTAATAAAATTATTCTTAGATCAATATCTAATTTAATTTTTAGTACGGAGTAGTAAATACGAAGTAACATCTTGTTTTAGTACGGAGTATCAATTAGACTATCTAATACGGAGTAATTTTAATCATGATATGATTTTGAGTTTTTTTATACTCCGTAATTAGCTATAATATATGTTAATCGAGAAATGTCACATTGAGGAAAAACCATCTTGATATCAACATTGTCTTTTTTATAGTTCTACTACTCTTAGATTTACCAATTTAGTGGAGTAAAACTCTTTACAAAAATAAAAATGAATTGGCAATCACTTTCTGCTAGGGTGAATATGATACAGTATTTAGCTCATATCGACATCGTTTCAAATATTTTGGTTCGGTATGAGATTTTATATCGTACCGATCCCGATCCCAAAATTTTGGTTCGGTATGATTCGGGATTGTCCAGTATCGGTTCTGGTATAAATCGGCCATCTTATTTAAACTTTAATGCCATTCTTACTTCCCTCAATGCCATTGTGTGTGGTAGGTGCCCAATTGGGTGCTCCACTAGTCAACTGTTAGATTAAGCAGTGCACATTACATTGTAAATAATAATTAATAATAATAATAATAATGATAATTTGTATTGAGTAAAAGACAAAGATAGAGAACATTCTATTCATTACCTGGTTTTGAATACTCTGATTTTTTTTGGTGGGCTGAAGCTGGAAATATGTTCTTCACTTACAAAATGCCTATCTAAATATTTAAAAGAATGTAAAATAAATATTGAAAAATACTCTATACAAAATATCTTCAGAGGCGGTCGTCCTTCATGCCAACCCGTATATTTTGCACATTTACTGAAAGTTGCTGTCTATGGTGTTCTATATCCTTCAAAACTGAGACAAGGTTTGTGCGGTAAACTTCACACTTTCTATTCGCACAACTCAACTCATAAGATAGTTGTTGGATCTTCCTATCCATCTCATCCTGCAAATGAAAACATTAAGAAAGTGCGCAGAGGAAGTCTTTAAAAAAAAGAAGATCACAATAGACACCAACCTCGGTGAGCAGCTTAGAAAAGATCCCATGCTGATCCTCGATGTTCATACTTTCCCGGGTACCATCCGCATTTGATTCGCATTGGTTACGCACATCCAAAGTGGAGGTCTTCCCATCACGGTTAGCAGCAGCAGCTAGGGAAACCTTTTTTGAAGCCTCGTCCAAGGCAGCCATTGCAGCTGTGTATGTGTGAACTGATTCTGCCCCTTCTTCCACAAACTTAAGAGCTCTATGTCTCAACAAATTATATCGAACAGTGTGCGATTCCAGATAGCGATTGAAAGAGCCAGCAACGTGGTCCTCAAGTGCAACAGTGCTCTTTGCGTTCCTCGTCCATCTCTTCAAAATATAATGAGAGGGAAGTGTTAGAACATTTGTCACTCGGAACACCGCCAACACATGTCTGCAAAGCAAGCCTGAGAACTCAAACATCTGACAACTGCACGTGGCTTTCATCTCAAGAACGTTAAACCGGACATAGTAAAATTTATGATCTTCGCCAAACTTTGAGAGTTGGTATGTGGTGGTTGCTTCCCCATTGTCCTCAACCTTGGTTGCCAGGAAAGTGAGAGTGCCAACCAACTCCTCCTGGAATCTCATGAATATCTTCTTCGTGTAGACCTCCGATGCTTGTTTCTCCATAGGGGAGGGGGTTTTCAGAGCGGGAAGGGTATTCATAGCATCGTAATCAGCTTTAACCTCCTTTTCATGGCGACTCTCTAGCGCCTTCTCGTACAATTTGAAGAACTGGTTCAGATTTGTTGATGCATTCACAAACCCATCAAAATAAGAGTTCATAATGTCACTGCGCTGAGTTAAGGACATTTCTGCAAAAAAAGTGTCACGAAGATAAACAGGCACCCAATGCCTACGATCCAAGTAAATGGATCGAAGCCAATCATGATCCCTGAGCTCATATTTGTCCACCAGAGAAGACCAACAACATTCATACTCTTGGGTGGATTCCGTCAAGTTAACACACTTGTGAAAGTCTGCTTCGAAATTAGGGTACTTGAGAAACACGTGAGACAGCCTCTCCTGGCATTTCTTGAAAATATGCCACTTACAGAAACGGTGACGAGACTCGGGGAAGACCTGCGTAATGGCGGACCTGATCAGTTCATCATGGTCTGTTGTGATTGAGAGAGGAGGGGGGTCACCAAACATGGATGCAAGCCACGTCTTAAAAAGCCAAACAAACGAAGCTTCCGATTCGTTTATTAGGAATGCACAACCAAACAGCACGGGCTGCCCATGATGGTTCACTCCAGTGAAGGGTGCGAATGGCAATCGGTACCTGTTTGACCTGTAAGTCGTGTCAAACGTGACGGTGTCTCCGAAATACTTGTAATCTTGTCTTGCCTTATGATCTGCCCAGAAGACATTCCCGGTGAATTGATCCTCATCACCCTGAATGGCATAGAAGAAATCAGGGTTTAGGGCAGCCATCTGTCTCAGGTAATCAATAAGGAGTTGTACATCACCTTCTAGGCTCCTCTGGCGGCTATTCCTCATGTAATTCCTGCAGTCCACTTCTGTGAACCCGACTTTGCTGATCCCGCCATACTCTTTGATAAGGGCAGACATGATCCTCCGAGGCCCCATTCCGGCAGCCTGCAAGGTGTCGATGAGGGTCTTGGCTGGACCAGAGATCTGACGGTGGGAACGAAGACAGTGGACCTGGTCAGGGGGGACCAGCTCGTGATTGTGATCTCTGACAAAACTGGATACAACCCATTTGCCCGAATCGTGTATCTTGACGGAGAGAGCTGCTTTGCACCCGACCCGGGTGATTAAGCGGGGCCGTTTGATCTCCCTGTCTTTGGTGCGTTTCTCGTTCAAATTGCGGAATCCCTCTTTAGAACAGACGAAGGATCTCTGTATGATGGCTCCATCCTTGCGGGATCGACGGGAAGAACTGACCCGAGTGCTGAACCCGACACGGCGCGCGTACGAGTTGTAGAAAGCCTTGGCTGCCTCTTCAGACTCAAATTCCATACCCTCGTAGGGTTCCAGATCGAGTTCGCCAGGGGCGGAAGTGTACATCCCATCCACACTACACTGTGCGGCGGCGTCGCTACTGAGCGAGGGAGAAGAAGATCCAGGCATGGTCTCATCGTCATCCTCCATGTGTTTCAGAGCGGCGTACCCATCTCCATCTCCGTCTTCGTCTTCACTCCCACATCCCAGTCCGATGCCGATGTCAAACTCAATAACCTGGCTCTCCATTCCAGCCTAGGTTTTCTGGATGCTGGGATTAAAACAAGATGTTACTGAGGGAGAAATCGACATGAATTTAAAAAGGGGGAAGAAGAGGCAGACAACTGACCAGTTTGCTCGAGACCGGTAAGAAGCGTATTTCGTAAGATTTGTTTGAAATTTCTTCCCAGTTCTTTGGCTGAAGGGGGATGATCATCATCATCGTCATAATCAGAGCTCAACTGCTCCAACCAAATCAATCAACAGAATGTAGTCATAAATGAAAAGGACCATTCTACAGCCTACCCTTACCCCAAAAATTGATATACCACAATTATACATAAACATTTTCATGGTTTACACCTACATAAACATTTTCATGGTTTACACCTACATAAATATTGGTGCGCTAACAAATATTTACACGAACACAAAGTTTTAGTGCATTGACAACTGTCATTATTCTCACTGCCCAAACTGGTTTCTAACATTCATCAAATGACATCATCCATGTATATAAGAATAAAATATATAGTCTTTAATTTTAGAAAATATGAGTATCGCCTTATTATTTAAGTATTTGTTAGAGATTCAGTATTAACTTTTCATAATAATAAAAATAATAAAATAAAAATCGAAGGTCTGAAATATCATATGTATAAGGATATTAAAAAAGAGATGGAGAAATAATAACATAAATTAAAATATTTTATTAACTAAAAATATCTAATATATCATAAAATATTATTATTATAAACATAGTTGACCGGGTCGTTGACCCCCGGTTCGACCGGTCAACCCTTGACCCACTACCTCGTCCGAGTCGACGTCCGGTCCGGTTTTCAAAACATTGCTAAAAAGGCAAAAAAATTTAAAAAAAATAAATAAATAAAAATCAAATAAAAATGTGTGATGGAGAAGGGGGAAATGTACATTTGGGTACACCGTACCCCTAGCATTGCTCTTCATGAATAATAATACTTCGTAAAACCCAAATAGGAGTTACATTCAAATTGCTCACCCTACTAAATAGCATGCCCCATCAATTCATAGTTTGAGAGTAATTCCACGTCTCGCACACCCCTCCCTTTCAACCAAAAGACGCAGCATTGGACGGTGTTAAAACCTCGAAAGGCTAAGTGAATAGGGCGGAGGGGCGGGTGAGATTTGATCAATTTCTCACTTAAGCTTGAATTCACTTTTTGTCGAAAAACTTAAGCCAATTTGTATTGTTTCACCAATCTTTAAATGGGAATGATATGATATTAACTTTTTTGATATGGGACATGCCCAAGACACCGCCTTAAGGCCACGAGGTGTGGGATCATGGTGTCTGATTTGGCATGCGGTCTCGACGGCGAACACCTCCCCCCCCATTGGGACTTCCAATTGGGACTTGGCGTGCATGGTGTCCAGACGCGGATGCCACGGACGGATTTTTCTTTTTCTTTTTCGAGTCGTTGCCTTTGTAGCTTTAGTTTGAATTTTTTTAACTTTTTGTTTTTCTTTCTCAATTTTGACCGTTTCTAATATTAAAAAAAACTAATTCCAAAACTAGATTTACTTTTTCTATATAAACTCACTTCTTCTAACTTCAATTTTCATCAGATCCACTCCACTCAATATTTCTACTTTTATTTCTAAAATGGAGCCAACCCAACCAAATTATCCCAAGTTTCAACCTTACGCCTATTACGGAAATTGGCCAACATCCCAATCGTACATTCGTACCCACTGTACTACATCCCTCCACCGCCAACATCCCAACCGTACTATACTACTACACCGCCACCATTATACCCACCGTACTACACCCTACACCACCGCCACATTCCTTTCAACCCCAAGCGGAGGAGGAAATGTTTGTTACAAATGACGTTGTGCCTGCAACACAACCGTAGAGGTCCAACCGCGGAAAGAAAAAAAAGAGAGACCTACCTACCCAAGAAAAGAGACACCAACAAACTGTGGACACTCAAGAAGAGGTTGCTTTAGCGAGAGCTTGGGTTATTATCTCCGAAGAACCTATAAGAGGCAAAAAATTTTTAATTCATTTTTTGAATTTTATTTAAAAATGCGGCTTTAAAAAAACATAGCCAACACACAAACGAGTGATGGGTTTTAGAATAAAGTCACAAACAAATTTCATGAGCTCCTCCAACAACAACCTTGCCCACTATTTCCTCCGTTTGTTCAAGGTTTCGAGACATGAACAAGAAAGTGAGGTGGTTTGCTAGTTTCTTCCAAAAAGTCAATAGACAAACGTCGTAGCGGGAGTAGTTACGAGGACGTGATGGGTGACTGTGTGTTGACCTAAAAAATTATCACGCAGAGCATGGCGCCTTTCTACATACAGAGGTGTGGGAAATTCTACGCATTTGTCCTAAGTGGGCACCAACACGAAAAGAGGTGCAAAGGGCCCCCTAAAGGCCCAAAACGTCTGAGTCGGGCAACCATAGCAGCTAAACATCGAATGCACGTTGCCCATTTGCCGACCTTGACGTTACCCAATCATTAAATCGTCTTGCTAACAAAATGCTGCAAGATAAATTAATAATGGTTGAGTCCACTTCTACTTTCCAAAAAAAGATATTGTAATTCACATTACTACGCATTTCTTTTCCATATGCACAAACTTCAACCACACAATGTTCACTTAATATAAAAAATATGTATCTCCCTCTATGTATTCAAGTCCGATGGAGACACTACAATTGTGGCGCATGTATTTTGCTATGTACATACTTTCTTTGGTGGCTCTTTTCATTATACTTATTTAGTGCATTGTGTTTTTCTCATTTTTATTTTTTTAATATAACGTCCTAATTCCACTTAGAAAGTCGTTCAGGAACCAATCCAATTGGAAAGGATGGTCACTCCTATGTGAGAAGTGGGGATGAGACACTTCAACAAATTTCAAGGCAGGCATGAGAGATCTGCAACAACAATTTTGTGCCATCTGAAAACCATTCACATAACTCAAGCTTATATTCATCTATTATCAAAGGATGTGCTAAGTATTGTTGTTACACTTGAAGGCAACAAACTCAACAGGTTATTTATTTTCCCCTTGTGATTTGTATTTGTCTCTTTTTGTTGTTTAAAATGCACATTTATATAATGGGCCTAGAAAAGGGTTACTATCCCCGTCCCATTTTATAACGCCTGTTTCGGTTTACGTTGTTTGACTGAAATTATTTTCAAACCATTTTATATGACAAATGGTATAGAATTAAAAAATAAAAATTACATATTAAAAAACTACATCAAAAGATCTACAAAACTAGTAGTGACAATAATATTTTATTTTATCAAATTGCTAACAAAAATAGAGAAAGAAAGTGAATGAAGTTTGACCATGTGAATAGTAAACATGCATTATAATTTGGGACAGAGGAGGTACTATTCTTAAAATGTGTGTAAAATGAAGGAAAATCTCTTATTAGTGTGTAAAATGGAGGAAAATGCCCATTTGATGTTTGACTTACCTTACTAACCACTCCATTGTGTTTGAAATATCAACGTGACTAAATTTATGTTACAAGGGAATATTTTTATTAAAAAAATACAAGCAAACTAGAAGATTGAGAAAGGCAATAAATTTTTTTATAAATACAATATAAAGTATTGTAAAGGACAACTCATTCCATTCTAGAAAGATTTTTGTGTTGATACAGAGGATATTTAGTCACAACGATATTCCAAACACAATGGAGTAACTAATAATGTATATCAAACATCGAATGGTTAGAACCCTACCATCCACCTACTAATAAGAGAACTAACTCCATTTTACATACATTTTGGGAATAGTAACCTTTTTAGGCCAATTATATATGCATTTTAAACAAAAGGGCAAATACAAATCACAAGAGGAAAATAACTAACCTGGTGAGGTTATTGTCTTCAACTCTTCCAAATGTAGCAACAATATCAAGTATATTCTTCGATAATGGAATAATAGAAGCTTGAGTTCCATGAAGGGTTTTCATATGTGGCACAAAATTGTAGACGCAGATCTCTCATTCCTCAAAATCTAGTGTCTCATCCTCACTTCTCACATAGGAGAGACCATCATTTTCAATTGCACAATTGGTTCCTGAATAATACTTTCCAAGTACAACTGGGACCGGATATTCAAAAAAAAAGAATAGTGCAAATGAGAAAAGCACACTGCACTAAAAGTCGATAGCTATAATGGAAAGAGTCACCCAAGTAGAAAATCTATATATAGAGAAATAGAATCGTTGTTTTTGAGAATGTGAACTATTACCAAAAAACATTACAATTCATATACAGAGTATTTAATAATAATAATCCATGCTCGCAACTCAACGATATACATGGATGAATCAAATTGCCTACTTGGTAAATGAGTGTCATGCACTGCCCAGCATACCATCTGTAAGTAATTTTTTTAAAAAAAGGGAAATGCTACGTATGCACCAAATTTACACCATACTTACATTGCATCACAAATTTTGAAATTTGAACGAAACAAATCTTGTTTGTTTCAAATATTACATGTAAACAGACAAAATTGTATTTAAAAATTTCAACTGTGATGCGAGTTTAGTTAAGTGTCATTTACATGTACACATGTAGTAGCATTCTCTAACAACAAAAAAAGAATCTATACTATTTTAGGTCCTAAATAAAATCTAAATTAGAGTAACACTTACAACCGATTCTTTCCTGGAATTACAGGATGTTTGGAGTTGATTAACGTCAAAAGTCCCAAACCCAGAAAGTTTGATGCCATAGGCTTCCATCCTGCGAATATCTCGTGGAAGGGGAGACTGCCACATGCCATCCCACCAAGCAGGTGGAAGGATTGGTGTGTACGCGCATTGGTTTGATTGACCGTGGCAACTCAATGGCCCTGCAAATCTGTTCCATACGTGTCCCCACCCAATCTGATTCCTCAACCCATCAGACACCAAGTTCCTTTGGAAGCTACTCAGGAAAGTAAAACTCCAGCCATTAGAGGAGTCATCATCTGAGAAAAAGAAAAAAAAACGGGCTAAATATAAAATTCATATATACAGGCTAACACGCCCCAGCTCACTCTCTATTTGGTTTTTAGAAAGAAAACAGGAGAGGGAGGGAAAATTCGATGTCGTCACCTAAATACTCCCTCCAACAATGGAGAGATTTGAAGGTGAGAAAAAGATATTTATCCAAATGAGACTAAACAAACATTTTTGGGTAAAAAATATCCATGTGGGGAGGGGGGCATTACATTTTCAATAATAGAATGCTGAAAATTCCCAGGGCATTACGAGCATATCAAGTACCAACTATGTACAATACGTGCAAATGGACATAACATGAGATTGTACTAGTACTTATAATTAATTATTGTGATTATAAGACAGTTTTTTTATCCAATACTAGTCCTTGTATAAGTTAAGGGAAAGATAGTCTATTCATTCCCTCCGTCCACAAAAAAATAAATAAAACAAACACAGAGTAAGTAGATTGGATAACTAAATTTACCAAGGTGGTGAGCTGCAGCCAATGCTGCAATCAGTTGAGCATATGTAGTCCCAACACGCCGGTGAGCCCCAGAAACAACAGCATGTTTTACCCGTGAAGCAAGAAAAAAATCAACAAAAGCAACCCATCTCGGTGCTGGGCCCCAATCCTTCTCTCTAAAGCTCACAGTAGCAGATTTGCCTGTGTATTGGGATAAGTTTCCTTCAAAATGTTTGTAATCAAAGTGCAAAACCTGGTAAGACCAGATATATGCTTCAGTTAAAAAATGCAGATACATCGGATCTCCAATGTTTTATGGAACCTTTGAAGTTACCTCAGAAAACTCATCCAAGTATGGAGCAATAAATTTCACAAAAGAAGGTGTGTCTGAAACTATAACAACTCTGGGTTTGGTAATCAGCTGAAGATCATTTACGGCTTTTCTAATGCACTCCAATGCCGCCCTAACTGCTCTCACAGACCTGATAAAAGCACACAATAGTAACAATAATAATATACCTTCATAACTTCATTCTCAAACACCTGTTAATTAATTAAATACACTTTGTTTACAAAAAAATGCTTATTTAGCAATCCCATAGAAGGAAACATAGTAAAATGACTAAGTTGCCATCCCATATATATTTCAAAATATCTTATTACTTTTAAAATTAAATACCTATTAACCAATAAGGGTAAGTTTGTAATTTTAGGACAAAATAAATTATCACCTTAAATCCCATAATGTTCCTCAATGAACATTTGATGGATACTAACAAGCACATATTAATCAATGGTCCAGACTTTATAACATACGTTCTCGCCCTACTATGAGCAGGATCAGATTATGAAATCTTCATAAGATTAATAGATCAAGCAAGCAAACCACATTTCTTTAAAACTTAAAGCCACACAATATATATGAATATGATGTTGTATTCGGGAAGGCCAGCACTGCATGCAGTTATGCTCTACCTGTTAGTGAGCATTCGCATATGAAGAGCAATATCCGGGTCAGCACCATCACTACCACCTTCCTGAAGTATAGAGTTCACAGCATGTTGAACGAGTCCTGAAGGAGATATCAGAATTCGCATTAACTCCCCAAAAACATTGGGCCTATAGTGAAGATCTTCAGGTCTCCCAAATAAATCAGTGGCAGCTGTCCTTGTATCATCATGTATATTCTTTAAAAAGAACTGAGCGGCCACAGCATCTGTTGTGTTTTGTAACCTAATTGCAAAGCTAAGGAAGTCAGCCATTTATTATTCTTTGAAATTCTTAATGTCTCCATTTAAATGCGTGTGTACAGCATCAGATCATCATCATCATTTGGATTTGGCATTGTAGCTAGCGTGGTGTGTTTTGTTACCATATGATAGGCTGTTTCCATCCCCTCCAATTGCTGCAAAGAACATTAGTTCGCGTTGGTTTCTGAAAATCATCAATTCTCATTACTAGATGCCTTCCATATTGACTCAAACAGCCGTTCTGTCTCCATAGATGCTTTATTTCACTCAAGGTGAAGGCAACATTGGAGTAAGTGATGAATTCCTCAAAGGGAAACCTACCCCTGAAGTTTGAATAGAAGATAACTCAGTTAATGAGAGAACATAGCAGGAAGAAAGAAGGGAATGCAGGTAGCAGGGTGCATGCCTGGTTTGGCCAATAATGAAAGAGCGGTTGAGCATGACACTGAGTGCAGCCCCAGTTAAAATTTTGTACATTTCGTTCCCAAAACCTGCTTCTGATGCCTTTCCTAACACGAATCCATGTTTGCAGAACTCTTTTGGGGGAAGTCTCCTCACTCTTGATGCACCTGCAGGCAGATGGCGATAGCCACCCATCAACAACAAAAACAACATTATTTGATTGAATGCCCAAATTTCTTCAAAATCACTCTTTTTAATTTTTGCTTCATGGCATCTTTTGCCCCAAACTGTGAAATAACTGCTACTACTTTAACATAGCATCTTCAAAATCCCTAGGTTGAGGAGTTACACCTAATAATAATAATAATAATAATAATAATAATTACTGGAGTATTATTATCCATAGTCATAGATGAACAAAAACTCAACTAATTAATTAGTCATGCTACATTTTACATTGATTAATTCACAACAGAACTCCAATCCTAATATAGTATCCTTGACTGCAATGTAGCACTAGTAATCAATTAATTTGCACAAATGGATAGATCCGAATTATGCAATCAAGCTAAGTACTCCGTAGTTGGTAACAATTGCACAAAGTAAGGTACCGTTGATGGCAAAGTGATTCCGGATGGTATTTCTGAGTGCGAGAGCAGCAGCTCGTTGTTGGTCGGGTGAGCCCTGGCGGAAGACATCTCCCATATCTTCCACTGTTGCGCATGTTGTGTTCCCTCGAAAGTCGCCGGAGACGGGAGCAGTGTCGGCGGCGAGGAAGGCGGCGAATTCGATGGGGATTTGGTGGGAGGATGAAGGCGAGGGATCGACGGATCTTGACGAGGTGAGGAATAAGAAGCCGAGGAGGGTGAGGGACGCGGTGGTGAGCAGCAAGCAGTTGGCGACTCGCCTCCGTCGCAGCACCGATCTCACTCCCACGGCGGCGACCCTCATAGTCACAGGATTTTCTCTCTTTCTTAACTCGATTATTAGATCAGCTCATTAAAAGGGCTGAATAGATTGTTCTTTTCAGCTGATACGTACGGAAGGAAGCCCACATTTCATAATAATGAACCTCCCTCCTCCCTGGGTCCCCGGAAGCCCACATTTCCTCTTATTATGTTAAACTTTCCAAATAAAGTTGTCATTATTTTTTTAAATAAAAATTATTGGGTCACCTTTTTCATTTGCATAAATTTCAAATACATACTTTTTTTTTTATTAAATTCTGTAATGTCTAAAAGGAACTAAAATACAGGAAATATTGAAAAGTTATATCAAAATATGTAGATAAAAAAAGTAAAAAAACATTTGTGAGACACACGTGTACTTTATTAATCCCAAATTAAATTTTTCATTTCTTTTTTACGGAATTTATGAAAAAATGAGATTATATGATTGAGGTTTTTCTAAAAGGAGTAACAAAGTGAACCACTCACTACTTCAAAAGAAATACAAAATCTATTTTGGAACAAATAAAAAAAATGGGAAGTTTATTTTGAAATGGAATATTATAGTGAGATACTTTTGGAGTTTTCATTTTTTACCAACTCTTTGAAGTTTGTGCCTTTTTTTTCTTTTGCAAAATACTCACTTTGTTCACCGGAATTAGTTGTTGGTTTTCTTGATTACTTTGTGACCAGTAGCATTTGGGTCATAATATACGTAATGTAACTTTTTAATACACAATGAATATATATGCGCCAGAAGAATGCCACCTATTTTAAAAAAAAAATAATAGATCTACCTAGAAATAATGTTAGAAATTAGCATTAACATTTTAAAAAGAATATCTACGGGCAGCGTCTTTTGTTTCAAATTAGCATTAGCATTTTAAAATTCAGGTTGAACAATAACTCGAAGAAAAACATATATCTCTCTAGATTTGCTTCGTGTTCAGAACAAATAATGAAAACATGCTTTTTCTCCTCCCTATTTTATTATTTCATGTGCATAAAGATAGGAGCTGCGAAAAAAAGAAAATGAAAATAAAAGCCGCAGCTGGCATAAAGCAGCTTTGTATTGCGGATGTCTCTCCCTCACTCCCTCCAACTTATTGTTACTATTATCATCATTATAAGAATTATTGTTTTTTTTCAAAAAAATGGTGTATAAAGAAAGAAAGAAAGAAAGGAGTGGAAACTAGTACAAATCTACAACACAATGGGAAGGCAATGCTCATGATGATGATGATGATGATGATGATCAATGATGAGCAAGACGGATGAGCTGGTCGACCACAGCAGGGTCTGCGAGTGTGCTCATGTCCCCAAGCTCGTCCGACTGCTTAGAAGCAATCTTCCTCAAAACTCTTCTCATTATTTTCCCACTCCTCGTCTTTGGAAGCCCAGGCGCCCAATGTATTTTGTCAGGCGCTGCAAACGCTCCAATCTACACACACACACACACACATTTCGTCTTCTTAACATTAAAAAACTTATATTCTATGAGCAGCTAGCAGAAGCAGATTGCAGGAATGAACCAACGAATGAATGGCTGGATGGGTTACCTGCTTTCTCACGGTGAGCACAAGTTCTCTCTTGAGTTCTTCGCTGTATGGAACTCCATCAACCAGTGTCACAAATGCATATATTCCTTGCCCTTTTACCTGTTGGTGGCAATACCCAAACACACAAAAAACATATATTATGAGAAGGCAGCATGTTAGTATCTCAATAACAGGGGATATGATGGATATTTTTTATTCATCATCATCATTTGATTGTCTGTCACCACCTAAATGCAAGAAAGGCAAGTCACCTCATGTTCCACACCAACAACGGCAGCTTCAGTGCATTTAGGATGTGAAACTAGAGCTGATTCCACTTCGACTGTGCCAATACGGTGCCCACTGGTTAAACAAGAGGATTATTTTGAATACAAGTATATCTCAACAACTCTTTATCCCTCTGATTGCAACAAACGGTGCGAGTGTACTTTTTTTCCAATTCAGTTCTATGACTTCTATCATCACGCAAACAAAAATCCCAAAAGTAGTACTTTCGCAAATGGAATAAATCATTCCTCCCCCCCCCCTACCACCCAAATAAAAAATCTGCATTAATTTACCTGACATTAATAACATCATCAACTCTTCCCGTAAGCCAGTAGTAACCATCCTTGTCCCTGTTAATAATAGGCTTGTATCTTAAGAACTGGAGATCATAGAATAATAACAAAAGGTTGCAGAATCACCTGATTTTTTCTTTCCAAAAAGAACAACAATTATCTACTAGTGCTAGAATCTAACCACCAGAATCTCAATGAGGACGTTATACCAAAATAGAATCACCCCAAAAACTACCTGGTGCAGCCATCACCAGTGAAATAATAGCCAGGGAAGGCACTGAAGTATGTCGTTTCATATCTATCATGATCCCCATAAAGAGTCCGGAAGGATCCAGGCCATGAGCTCTTTACACACAAATAGCCACTGCACTCACCTTCCAATTCTGCCCCCTTCTCATCCACTATGGCAGGCTACATTGTCATAACATTATTTTGTGAAATGGTCAAAAAGATTGAATCAGGCTAGAGAATTCTACCAACTTAAAGGTGCAAATATGCTCCTATAACGTTTTCCTTAAGGTGTAAATTGAAGCTTAAAATCTTAAATGTTGTAACGCTTATCGTTTTCCTTGTAATGCCCTTACCATTTATCAATGGGTGCAATTTTGTAATTCTTATATGTTCCTGGGTTTTTAAAGGAACTTATATGCACCTATCTTAACATTTTTCTTGTAATGTCCCTACCATTTGTCCATGAGTGCAAATTTGTAATGCTTATAAGTTCCTAGTTTTTAAAGGAATTAATATGCACCCATGGACAACTGGTAGGGGGATTTTTGCACCTAAAAAATATTTCAGAGCTAGCTAATATGCACCCAATAGCAAACATGGACATATTTGTGCCTTTTCCCACTTAAAGATTTCAGAATATTGGTTGGCAATCCATTGTATGCTTGCCAAAGACTTCCACTTTCATTTTGAGAGACAATTATTTGTTGGAGAGTTTACATAGTTGCTGCTAAAGTCTTTTATTAAGACACATACCTGAACTCCAAAAAAAGGAAAAGTAGCAGAACCGGGTTTTTGGGGCCAAGCTCCTGGCAAAGGATTAATCTGCAAGGAACTGATAGTGTCTCAAATGACAGTTATTTTTGTTTAGGAAAAAAGAGAACAAAAAGAGTAAGTAGCATGCCATAAAGCCACCCGTTTCTGTTTGCCACCATGTGTCAGATATGGGGCACCTTGCATCTCCAACTACATTGAAATACCACCTGAACAAAAAAACAATTGATTTTAAAAAATGAAGTTTAGCAACTAAGGGATATAAAACATTAAAAAGGCTCCAAAGAGTACAGAAAAAACCTCCATGCACTTGGATTGATAGGTTCACCTACACTTCCAAGGACTCGCAATGATTTGCGTGAATACCGAGTGACATACTGCAAAGGTCAGAGAAACTACCAAGTTCAACAACTGTGTCTAGTAAGTATGAATGGAAATTAACTTAGCCCCTACTATGAAACCAAATAAAGAAATAAAAGAACTCTTGCAGCATCTCTTTGCCTATTTCTAACAACAATGAAGAGATATGATATCTCAAATGATTCACAATGCCCCCCCCCCTCCAACTCTCCAAGGGTGAGGGGGCTGAAACAAATGACCTTGTTTCTCTCTTTCCCATGCCAAAGATTGATCCTTCATTCATTCACTCTATATTGTTTGCTCAATCCCAATTAATAATGTTGAGCAGGCTAGAAACCCAGAAGCTAAAAACATCTGGATTCATCATCTAATATCTATAGAGAATATGGGCCGTTACGGCTTGATACTTAACATACAGCATAGCATACAAAAAACTAAATTGTTATCACCCACTCAGCCAATTGCAAGAAGAAAAAAGCATTAGAGTATATTCATGCCTCATCTCCCTCGCGCATGAGAGACCGCACCAATGTGGGAGCCGTATAAAAAATAGATACTTTGTATTTGTCAACAATATCCCAGCAGCGTCCAGAATCTGGATAATTTGGAACCTGTAGAACAATTTAGTTGGTAAAAATGTGAAACCAAATTGCTAGGGTAATGAATTCATTACTGCTAGTTTGCTACGCTCTACTCATCATTGAGCTATAAAAATCATGTAAAAGCAATTCATAAGGTCACTGCAAATCTAAGTAACATTATTAAGTTCATATAAACATAATAATAGATGAACGAATAGCTACCCCTTCATAGACCAGAACAGTAGCTCCATTTAATAAAGGTCCATATGTAACGTAGCTATGCCCAGCAATCCAGCCACAATCAGCAGTACACCTAACAAAGAAGTAAAATTAGCTCAAACTCTTCTTTCACAGAACTTCAACTACATGCAAAATCGATACAATCTTTCAAGGGAATTTGATCTAAATTACCAGTATACATCTTCCGACTTGTAGTCAAATGCATATTTAAATGTGGTCGCCGTGTATACCATATATCCTCCAGTAGTATGGAGCACACCCTTTACAAAAAAGAATGAAGAATTTACAAATCCTAAAGAAATCAAGAGAAGATATATAAGTTTTCTATGTATGGTACCTTGGGTTTTCCAGTACTCCCACTGGTGTAGAGTAGGAAGAGTGGATCCTCAGCATCAACCCATTGTACATCACATGTTATTGGATATTTGGGAACAACATCCTAAAAAATATGAGCAATATAACCAATAAGGAATCAGGTCAAAACCAAAGGTTACAATGGCCACTCCATAAAGAAATTTAGCATTAGTAGTCACTACAAGCTCGGGAAAAAAAGTGTATAGCTAGAAACAAGTGCACACAAAGTACTTTAAAACGAATACATACATTGATGCCAACATTTTGAGCACTACATCTACTAAAATGGTAGTTAGCAGTGTATTTGGAGAAAATAATGGAAGCGAACTGCTAATAGTTTTCATACTCCGAAAAGAATACTTCACCACTGTGAAGTGTGGACTGTCATAAACAAGATATTGTAAGAATAAAAATCAAAATTCCCAGCTCTTACCAAGAAAACATGCAGTGACATCTCATCTTACATGGATAGGTCATATGTGCATATTACCAACATGTTTTTTAGGAAGTCACCAATACAAATGAAATGTGAGAGAACACTTTCTTGAGTGAAAGA